AATCAACACGCGTTCAGAGTATTTGACTGCTACACATTTCCACGTGATAAGCCACTTCGTTGAGCTATAATTTGTGGCCAGATCGCTTCTGAAAAAGAGCTACATAGCTCAGTGGGCCTTACCAGGTCAAATATAAAATAATTTTTAGTAGTTTTTATAGGTGTCCACTGCACATTTTGTCATTTGTTTCCACTTACCTCTGTCTCTCGTACCAACATCCTCACTTAGTGCACATCTTCCTGCCACCAATCTCGCGATGTCGTCACAAAGCCATTCTCCTCTCTTTCCGGTTCCTTCCATTTTTCCCGAACAACAACAACAACAACACACTTCCATTTTTCCCGAACAACAACAACAACACACTTCCATTTTTCCCGAACAATAACAACAAGACACTTCCATTTTTCCCGAACAATAACAACAAGACACTTCCATTTTTCCCGAACAACGACAACACACTTCTATTTTTCGCCTGAACAACAACAACACACTTCCATTTTTCCCGAACAACAACAACAACGACAACACACTTCCATTTTTCCCGAACAACAACAACAACACACTTCCATTTTTCCTGAACAACAACAACAACGACAACACACTTCCATTTTTCCCGAACAACAACAACAACACACTTCCATTTTTCCCGAACAACAACAACAACAACGACAACACACTTCCATTTTTCCCGAACAACAACAACACACTTCCATTTTTCCCGAACAACAACGACAACACACTTCCATTTTTCCCGAACAACAACAACACACTTCCATTTTTCCCGAACAACAACAACAAGACACTTCCATTTTCACGATGGATGTCACACCCTTCAGTCGCGTCGATCTGGCTGAGTGCAGTTGTGGGTCGGGAAGCACTTGACTCACGGTCACAAGGTCACGAGTTCGAACCCCATCCGAGAGGGGGCAATACTGTATTCCACATAGATGGAACAGGTGGAATCTACATTTGTTGCTGTTCCGCATTCTCCTGGCAAACTAAGAGTATACCACCACCACCACCACAACGGCCACGGGAAGGGAGTTTCAAAACATGTGCGGTGATTTACTAACTCTGACTGCCTCCACAGTGTTGGACTGCAGGACGCGTGCGTAGCCACCACCGCCCGGCTTAATAAACAATACACCTCCTTTCCAAAATAGTCTCTTCACATACAAATAAATAAAGTTAATTGCACATTCCATTGGCAGGACGCCCTTCTGGGAATGATGTTTTTCAGCAGCATTGGTTTAATACACACAACACTCTTTGTGTGACATGCAGTGTATCGTCAGCAGGATCAGGGCTTGCTTCAACCAGAGTAAGCCCCAAACGCTTTCCTGAATGTCCCTTTGGCTCAATTCACATCGTGACGGATGTTTCTTCTCATGAGAAAAAGTTAAAAAAAATTGAACTTGTAAATTTAAAGTCATGCCAGCGTCACTGTCGACTTCGTAATGGGTGTTTCTTTTCAGGCATTATCTAGAGCGACGCTCGTTTAATCAGCGTTGCGCAAATACATAATTGCAGGGGCATGACAAGTGCTCAGCGTGATGTGAATATTCATAGGCTGCGCGGAGTGAAAAGTGTTTTCATAATTGCGATTATTGGCAGCGGCTGCTGTTGCATCACAGCGGATTACGGTGCTGGTGGGGAAACGATTCACACCGGACCGCCAGAATGTAAAAAAGAAACACGCGCTATCAAAACTTCCACCCCTGTTGTTTAGCATGCCGCACGAGATAATAGCATCGCTTCATTTTCACGTTTCACCACGGTTGAAGATTACTCAGACGATCGCGGTGTAGTGGCGGTAACGGTCCTGGAGAACCCGGTTCAGTTCCCAGTGATCATAACAACAACAGTCATATTTTATTTAATTATAATAGTTCGTTTTGTATAGCGTCGTTCATGCAAATTGCGTTATTTTTGCACAGAGGCGCGGGAAAGCCCAGACGAGTGGGGGAAAGGCATCCAGGACCAGTGCAAACAAATGTCCAAGCTCTGTGGTCCTGCTATGTTGGGATGTTTGACCAACTGCACTCGTGAGTGTGTATACACATGCGGGTAAAGCGGAGAACCCAGAGAGAACCCACACGTGCGAGCGGGGCAACACTCCATCCCCGTACAGATGTAGATTAGCCCACTTGCTGTACTGCTATCGTACCCTGGCAAGCCAGGAGATGGAAACCCCGACACCCACGTGTAGGAAGTTTCATGAATGTGTGCGTGATCCACCAACCCTTGCCTCCGGTGTGCTAGATGAAAGGTGTCCTGGTGTTGCCATAATCGTTCTGTTGTTGAGGCATCTGTCCTGGGAAATTTGTAAGTCTTCCCGCAACATTCCAGTTGTAGTTGTATCACGATGCGCCACTCAAGACAATGTATATATTTGCACGTCTCCCATCTTCTGACATTGTGACATGTTATTCTTCCCAGGATATGTCCGGGGTTATTGTTTTTTGTTGACCCTCAGAGTTGGCACCAGTCGCAACTGGTATTAGAACATGGACGAAACATCTCCCTTGGGTTGACTTAGCCTAAAGTGATCACTCCGTGCAGAGTGCCAATTAAAGCACTGGCTAGAGAACGGTGGACAAGCATGCATGTTGGTGGCCATAGGCTCCTAATGGAATGGTCTCAGGTCAATTTTTAATTACTGCTAAGGCTGCAGAGATTAACTGCACCCGTGATGCAATAAATTATGATTTAGGCACACAATTAAATTCAAGAATGTTTTTTGTTAAATATATTTTTTGGTGCATGTAGCAGCCTCTAGTGGCTGGAGGGATCTTTTGAGCTTAAACACGAATAACAAAGCATTTGGTCTTGCACGCATGCAATTTGGTGTATTTGTCGTTAACGTAAGAATCAATATTCATCGACAAAATTTGACATTGTGCTCTAATCATTCATAATATTAGAAATTACTGACAGGGTATGAATGAGCACCATCGAGTATTTGGTGAGAGAGGCGTGTTAAGGCGCTGTCATCGTACAGGCAGCGTTAATTTAGCCGCTTGACGATATCCGTCCACCCACCCACGGTCATTGTTGACGAATAGTGTTCTTCACTCATGTTGTCAACTAAATCGACCCTGCTCTCCCGGGCCCATTCCCTGGCCATGACGCGAGGCTCTGACAGCCGCGGGAATTCCAGAAGGGCCTCCGTCGTTCGTCTCACGACAACGGCAGCAGCGGTTAAACTCAAAATAAAGAATAAAATTAAAGGTACAAAATAAATCTCTCCGTCTGAATGACCAGCGTGCAGCGTACCTCCCCGGTGCCACGGATAAACTCGCTGAGAGCAAACGCGTGCTCCTTAATAATTCACGCTTTGGCTTGAAGGGACAGTCTGTCGTTTCGCTGGCCCTAATGCAAGAAGGCGTCGTGGAAGACTGCTTTGGCCCCTTGGGTTCGGAGCGCGGCCCGAAGCCTTCCCCGCCCGTGGACGCACGATGATCGCGTGAAACTGAGCGGCGCGGGTTTCCAAAATCCTTGAAGGTCCTGGTTGCCCTCTTGAACCAACCAAGTCGTCCCAATTAGCAGCGACTAAAATAAACAAGTGCTTTGGGAGGGCTGCTAAGTAGGGCACGGTGGATACCTGCAGGTATCGCGTCCAATACCCAACGTAACGGGATTGCTGCTGATAGTGGCATGCATCACGGCAGTTTCTCGGTCCCGGAAACGATAATTATCGTGTACAAGTGTCTTGTGCTTCATTGGGCTCGGGCAAGTACGCATTTCCATTGGCAGCCCAGGCACGCGGTAGAAATTCCACATTCGTATCGCAGAGGATAGGGATGGTGGAATGGCTAGCACACTGGGCTTGCAATCCAGAGGTCGCCGGTTTGACCCCCTGCCGCGGCCGGTAAAAGATTAATTAAATACCTATCAAGAATCAGAATCTTTGTGTGGGTACTCCTACCTTCTGCCAGACATTCTAGCAATATGGAAGAGTAGGCCAAATCACCCTGTAGTTGAGGCCTTTCTGCCAGTGGTGGCATGATCAATTAGGTACAGAGCTGCGCTGCACCTTGACCTTTGGCACCTTATGGCAGGCTATTGTCTCCCGAGAAAAACGTATTTTTAAACAATGTCAAAATGTCCCTTTGTTTTTCAACACTCCTCTTGTTTTGCTGATACTGTAAAGAGAGTCATTTGGCCCATCTGCCCACGACGTGACTCCTTGATTTGATTGGCTCTGTCAGGTGCCACGGTGGCGAGATGTTAACTACCTCGCCTGGTATGCAGGAGGCGGCTGGTTCAATTCCAACCCTGACGCCTGCTGCTGTATATTTGGAGTTTGTGTGTCTCTTTCCCCGTGGTCGTGTGAATCTATCCAGGTCCATGCCTTTAGAGTGTTTGGCCGCTATACATTTCCACGTGATACGCCACTTTGTTGAGCTGTCATTTGTGGCCTGGTCGCTTCTGAAAGAGCTACATAGCTCAGTGCACCTTACCTGGTGAAATAATAAAAAAAATTGTAAACATCAGCACTGGAGAGACAAATACAGCCGGGCATGCTTCTGGCCACACCACCACTCTTCAGTCGCCATGGCGGCCTTCATGTGGGCTGCACGCTGACAGCACTTGCCCCAACAGTCTGTTAAAGGCTTTCCCGGTGATCTTTGTCTTTGTGCATGAGAAGCAGTGCCATTGTGAACTCCTAAATTAAAGTGATCTGAGAGTGAGCCATGCACCTTAACTGAGCAGCCGAGGCAGGATTAGGGGGCTACGCTTAAAAGAAGGGGTGGGGGGGGGGTGGCAGTCCGCTGGCGTGTGTTTTGGCGGACGCGTGTGCGCGCGCTGCAACCACCGCACCTAAAAACACCTAAGTTTGATTCCCAGCCACGGAAAATTGACGGCGTCGGTGTCATCGAGCGTCGCGTCACAGCTCGCCCCCCCCCCCCCCTCGCGAGTGTCCAAGGCTCCATTGTGTTTGGGGGTCGGTGGCGCCTGTGGCGGTGCGCCGTCGCCGTTGTCCGCGCTGTGTGCAGGCGGCGCTGGCGGAGACGAACCTGCCCCTGCTGGGCGGGCTGGGGAACCCGGTGACGGCGGCGGCGGCGCTCATGGCGAGCCACGAGGAGCTCAACGGCCTCCTGGAGCACGCGAGCAGCAACGGCAGCGGCAGCAGCGCCGGCCACTCGCCCCCACACGCGCTGTGAGCCCCGCGTTGAGCACGCAACGCCGTCGCGTTCTCCGCGCGTCTGAACGCGGTTTCGCACGCGCGCCCGCTCGGCCCGAGCTGTTGACGCTTCGTGCATCGGCCTTGTGCTGCTCGCCTTTTAGCGAGCCTCGGTTCCGGCGCTGGTCACACGAGGCCGTGCCAGAGGCTGCCTCTGGTGCAGGCCAACCCCATAGCTGTCGACCCACACGGTTGAGCCCGTATTCTTGTACAGGGAAATTGAGATTCAGGTCCATACGGCGTACAGCCGTTTCAATGCCGGCCGAAAAAATGCGTCTATTTGTTTGTGTTTCTCACGTGTGATGGGACTTTGTAGGATGAACGTTGAGATTTTTAAGGCACGGGGTTACCAATAAGGTCTGAATTGGTCTGTAATAAGCTAGAGGGCACTGATAAGGGGTTGACAGGTTTGTAATCCGTTTCCAGGACTGCGTACATTATCTAAGCATATTTGTTCGCGGGGTTTTTTTCCCCGCGAGCAAGCGTGCTTACGCAGGCACGATGCCTCCTAATTGGTGTCTGTTTGGTGTTTTTAGATATCCGAACGCCAGTATTTACGCCAAGCTATGCAACAGGATTTATTGTAATCGACCATCGCATTGTCATTTTTTAGAGTACATTAACCGCGAGTTATCAACTCCCTAACTCCCTTGTGGCTGCACGTTGATGACATCGCACAGCCACCTACTTAAAGCCCACGACTGGCGGACGTTATCACAATTCGGAACAGCTGCCTGATGATGTTGGGTGGAACCACCAGCGAAACGTCTTGTATCCAATTGTTCAATGTGGGCGGATTTCTCTACAGCAACAACTTCATTCATTGTGAAGTGGAGGAGGGTGTACAGCACAACACGATCTGACCCAATAATCTATTGTGAAGCATGCATTGTACTGTGTTACATTGCACAGGTTGTGTTGCGTAACACTGTCTTACATTTGACACTGTTTTTGCATTCCCTTGTATTACATTGCACTTTATTGTATTACCTTTCTAACACCTTGCATTGTATTGCATTGCAATGCATTGCATTTCAGTCCACCACTTAGCATTGCATTGTGTATGATGATGCCACTTGGTAGTTTTTGTATTAGATTGCATTGTATTATACTGTGCATTCTATTATATTACATTATACTTTGCATTGTATTTTATTACATTACACTGTGCGTTGTATTGTATGACATTGCACTGTGCATTGTGTTACAATTTATTATCACCTTAAGCATCGCTACGGTGCAATATAATCTGAGCCACTCACCATCAACGTGAAGCAGCGGTGGAAGTGTGAGGTTCACTGGATTTGGAAGAATTTACTTGGATTGTGAAACGGTGAAAACAAGAAAGGACACTTGGCATGCGGTAACCCCAGGTGTGCAAGATCAGAGATTCGCCAAATTCCAAAACACCAGATAATCGTGCGTCTTTAGAATTGATAGTTTCCAAGCACGCGTCCATCGTATAAAAAACATTGCCCGGGACTATGAGCTTCACGTTTCCTCGCGTTGACGAGGACATCTCAATCTCCACTCACGTTATGGGAATAAAACATTACCACCCGCACGAAACGTGCTCCGGTCAACGTTAATACGCGAGAGTACGTGCCCTTCACATATCCGTCTCTCCGCGTAATTTTTTTCTAAATAATTTCTCACACAGCCCTTCGGCCGCTCGGCCTTCTGAGACATGCGTGATTTCAGCAGCGTTGTTTCAAGACAAGCAAACTTTCGACCGGTTTTGACACACAGTGTCTCATCAGCAGTCAGGCTTCCTTGAATCAATGCTGGTGAACTGTCGATCTTACTGGCATAGACCCGACCCTCCGCTTACCATGTGAATTATGCCTTACTTGAGTCTGGCCTCAAGAGATTTTTCCATTAATTTATTTTCTTCATGTAGCCATTGAATGCCAATTTCAAAAACAAGTAATCATGCTGCACAACTGAAAAGGAAAAATGGACGAAGACTTAAATATATTCTGAGTGCAATTCAGAAGTGATATTGTGTACAGTGTGATTAACAAAATAATTCAATACATTCGTCCGTAACACTGTGGCCTTAACAGGAAAAATATAAAACAGACGACGTTTTGGCTATGACCCTTCTCCATGGCACATAAATGAAGAATGCCATTGCCCAACATGTCTCCTGTTATATATGTTTCCTGTTAAGGCCACACGGTGTTATTGACGACTGCATTGTTGAGTTATCTTGTTGATTGTGCTAGTGCAGCAGCAGCAGCACCAGCATCTCCAGCAACATCACCAAAACAATTAGTTCAACGTGAGCGGAAGGGGTCTGAGTTACGAGAGAGAATCTGCCAAGTGGAGCTGCTGCATTGAATTTTGTAATATTGCACTCAAGTATGGAAGACGTTAAAACGGCCAAGTTAGGGTCATGAAGGTGAAATGGGCTGCATCGCATTGTACGATACATTCCGCAGAATTTCTGAGTGAAAAGAAGTTTCTTCTGGGACTAACTAGGCACCTCTTGAGAGTCCGCAAGGCCCTGCTCTGCTCCGGTCACATTTTACAGCGCTGAATGCTTTAATGACGTGTACGGTTCCCCACGCCGCATTAGCGTATGAGTGTGTTAACTACGAATGGAAGGGTTGGCAAATGTGGGCAATTGGCACAGTGTGTAGCAAAACTAAACTAAAACTAAACTATTTTAATTTTATCAGGTAAGGCCCACTGAGCTGTATACCTCTTTTTCAAAAGCGACCTGGTCACAAATGATAGGCCAATGAAGTAAATGGCTTATCACGTGGAAATTTATCAGAATCTTTATTTATACTGGGGGAATCCAATGAGGTATGAAGCTAGATGTCCAGATTCATAACAGCCAAATATTCTAAATGCATGTTTCTGAATATGGAGGGGAGAACTGGAGAACATAGAGAAAATCCAAGCCACCACGAGGGAGAGCACGCAAACTAAAAAATATCCAGGCGTCAGGCTCGGGATCGAACCCATGACTTCCTGTGCACCAGACGAGGTCGTTAACATCTCGCCACGGATAGATACTTCCTCAAATCGATTATAGAATGAGTGGGAGCTGGGGTCAGGGGAAGCATTACGATTCCTTTCCACCACCAGAGTGAGTGGCGCGTTACTCAGCTAACAACTGCCCCCAGCTCAGCCGTGGCGTCACCCACGCTGATGCCAGAGGCATGGCCCCAGCTACCCTACCTCAAGCGGCAGGGAAATTAAGACATTGCTGAGCGGCTAATTAGACGCTGACCCTACGCAGTAAGACACCAGTCACTTCGCTGTAATTATGCGAGCGAAGATGGGGGGGGGGGTGGGGGGTAAGAGGCCAATCGCAGTTCACAGAGGTCTTCACTCCGCGGTTACGGAATTAGTTTGACCGTAAATTGGGGTTTGCCCCGTCACGAAATGTTGAAACTTGGCATCGCGGTGAAACGGCCTCGGCAAGTGCCACGCGTAATGCAGCGCCGCGGTGTTGATGCCCGAGTCCACGGTGCAGCGTTGACACTGCCGCTGTGCCGAGCAGCAGCGGTGACTGTATTGGTCAGGAGCAGTGGCTGTACTGATCAGGAGCAGTGTTGTATTGATCAGGAGCAGTGGCTGTACTGATCAGGAGCAGTGGCTGTACTGAACAGGAGCAATGGCCGCGTTGGCGTCTTTGAGAGGGAACGCACGTTGCGCTCGATGCGTAGGCCCCTTATGCGAATTTCAACAAATTTTAGAAGAGAAAGGAACCGCAGGTCAGGCCACAGTTACGCAAACATGAGATTTAAATGTTTTTTTTATTGTTTTTTCCTCAAGACGTATTGGGCTTTAAAGAGGCACCATTTCAAAACTATCCCTTTGGGACATTTAAATCGCTGCTCAATAATAATAAGAATGCGGAACATTTGTAAAGTGCTTTTCCCATATGTTTAACTCAACAAAATTAAGCGACGCAGAAGGAATTATTCCATTGGTTATTCAATTGTCTGATTTAGCTAATTCATTGGGTTTTGTGCACACGTGCGATAAGCACGCGCACCCTCGCACACACACACACACACACTCGATCTCCCTGTCTCATACGCACGCAGCGCAGAGCCTCTTTCATACGTCCACGTGTGTGATTTAATCGTTAAATTACGAAAAAATGTGGCCTCCACAGTGGTCATTGCAGCGGTGCGAGCGCATGAACAATTTAGCGGGGAGCGGCGGCGCGGTGGTTAGCGCCCTGACGCTTATGAAATCGGTCGACCCGAGTTCCCGTTCCTGGCCAGGTCCAACATCAGCGGCGAATATCTGAAGCGGCCCCGAGCCTCCCCTACTTCAAATAAACTTTAAATGAGCGCCCGGTGCGGTGCGTAAACACCGACACTGCGGGAGACAATGACCCGGCCAGGAATGACGTTGGCCGCACCAAAGAGGGATTCGCCAGCAGCTCTTGTCCCACGAGTCTGTACAAGGCTATAGAGGAGGGGGGGGGGTTGTCATTGGTATGATGCAACGGTTTGCATACCGCACTACAAAGCCAGCAAACTGCGGTTCAACTCCCTGGCCGCACTCAATCACAGTGACAGTCGACGTCCGAACCTGCATTGGGCCACCCTGGGTTCGACTTCCAAAAACGAGAGAAACCTGGTGCAGTGATGTGGTCAACAGTGATGTGGTCAACATTGGCAATGGAGGGACAAACGGTGGCTTGGACGTGCGTGGTCCTGGCCATTCCCTTGCCCTCGCTATGCCTGATTGGTCTTGAGAGGTGCTCACTCATGACGGCACTTCGCACAGTCAGCATCTACGGCTGAACCCAAGGCGAGGGGGGGTTACGGGGTCACCTTCGTGTGCGTGCACGCTCGCGGCCGCCTGTCACTTCACGGTCAGCCGCGGGGATGAGTGTCAGCGAGAGCGAAGGTGTTCTCACCATGGATCCCCGATCTCACCCTTAAAGCCCCCTTGTGTTTCCTCGCCCCACACCCCCCCCCCCCCCCCCCCCATATCCGCCGCGCGTGTCCCTGTGTGTGCGCGTGTGAAGCGAAAGGCATGCGTGGTGGCACAGCTCTTGTTCTCTCTCCCCGTAGTCTCAATTGGACAGAGGTGGAGTCTCCCCAACCACGGGGACCTTGGGCTCCTATGAGCCATGCGCCTGCACACAGGTGCGTTGAGAACCACCCCGCCGCCGCCGGTTAGAGACGCGCGGTCACCCCCCCCCCCCACGCCCCCCACGGTCCCCGCGTGGCCCCGGCCCCTGCACTCACCACGTGTCCACGGCACCGGTAGAACAAACAGGGACGAGAGCCGGCAAAGACGGGAACGGGTCACGTTTTGCAATTAGGGAGGAGTGGGGGGGTGGGGTTTGCAGAGTGTTAGGCGGGAGTGGGGGGACGAGAGATCCAGTCAGCAGTGGTGGTGCTGGTCTATTGAGGGCTCTTGAGCAGACGGGGGGTTGGAGAGGGAGGAGGGAGGAGGGGGCTTTTAATTTATAAACTCCTCGTGAAGTGACGAGAGATACAGAAGGGATATGAATAGCAATGGCGAGATAAGCGATGTAAATAAAGTTAGATGAGAGAAGAGAGAGAGAGATGGAGACACGATAGGGATGATGGAGATCTAATTGTGATTGTTATATTTATTAGGATTTGGATTTGAGATATCTGGTTTAAAATATATATTTATTTTTTTGCCATTAAATTTCCGGGTCTTTTGAGTTGCCTGGAATCCAAACCCCTTGCTTTGCTTTGCTTTTTTGTCTCAGCGCTGCCACTGCAAATCAAACACTCACACTACCCCTCACTCTGTCCCACAACCTCATGCCTGTTCCGTTATATGTGTGACCTTCTTTATGTTTGATCAAATAAAGACGGCCACTGCATCGCGCGCTTAACAGATGCGCTCCTGTGTGCCATATCAGGAAGCCACTTGAGCTACGTAGTTTTAAATCTAGATTGAAAACTCATTTCTTTGAAACTGATCTTGGTGTCGAGTTTGTTGGTCCTTCCCCCGCACCTCCGATCATCACGGTTGGCTACGTACGGTGCGAAAGAAGTTCAACATGCATGCGTACACTTCTGTTCTGCTGCTTCACTTGCATGTGGATGCTGGTGGCAATTTTCATCTCCAGCATCGCTTGCCTCCCTGTTGCCATCTCTGGGCGCAGGGGGACCAGCAGAGACGCGTCAGGGATGTTTCACTTTTTTTGCAGTTTCACCGTTGTCACAGATCACGTTTGGTATTTAAGAATTGAAGGATATCCTTTTGGGTAACTCCGATTTAATTGCGTACCTATTAAACTTACAGTGCTTAAATTGTTCCACATTGTCCCATTGTAGGTGTGAACATGAACTTAGTTATCACATTTACACATTTGCGTAACACGCGCACGATAAAACTTTTTTTTCACCAAGAAATCTTACAGCGATCATTTAACGTTAAACGAATACGCACATTCTTTCACAGAATTGCCATTATAATGGCCTGAAATAACCGACTATTAGTGACGGTTAAAACTGAGGATTTTATCTTTCGTGTAATTTATAGTTTGATGAGTAATTAAATAGGAGCGTGTTTTAAGACGTTCATTTAAATTCACACACTCAACTTTATTTAGAGCAAATTGCGGGAAAGAGCGATAAATATGAGACACAATTAAAACGATGGAGCTACTGACCATTGTTTTATAACGCATTAATTATTCACCCGCGCATTGGATTTGAATCTTCAAGTGTCTTTCGTTATTCACTGCATATCCCTTTTCATCGTTAGTTTCGCTGCATTAGCCCAAGGGATGTTCGGTTGTGAAATGTGGCCGCAAATAGATGGTTCGGTTGTTGTTGTTATTTTACCATTTTGCAACAGGGTTGTTGTTGTTGTTGTTATTGTGAGGTCTTTGTTTGTCTCACTCGACAGCTTTAGTGCCGAGATGTTCCAACAGCCCACACAGCTGCAAGCAGATGTCCACAATGTACATGTTTAAAGGCCCAGAGCACATTCTAACTTAATGAGCTTCACAGCACTATCGTTATTACTGGTATTTTTATTTTCACGAAGAAACTGTTATGTAATGCGACTGCTAATTGAAAGTAAATAGATGTGTGCCTGCAACTGCCACAATCCCGATTTGAAAAGGAACCCCACACAATCTATATAAATACCTTAATCTGTCTCGAAAATACCTTAATCTGTATGTCTCAAAAACCTCTTAAGGCACTTAATGACAAGATAAAAAGCAGAAATGTGGTACATAGGTAGCTTTAATGACACAAACATCAGGACAAATCTGAAAATCCGATTTTTGTTTTATTTTAAGCCCCCCAAATATCGATTGAAAGTGCCGCATGAACATATTTGTGCGTGTCATTCATAAACCCTTCAAAATATAACATTGCATTGTTTCCTTTGATAGAATGTTAAACGACAAAAGTAAAATTAAAGCGAGAGCCATTGTTCTATCCTTTATTGTTTAGAGATATTTCGGATTCAAGCGGTTTTGAACGTAAAAATACGCATTTTATGGTGTTAAAATTTGAATAATTAGAAAACGATCAAAGATAGGAGCTTCCCCTCATAGAATATTAAGTGAATTATGTTTTGTTCTTTCTAATAAATATAACTGAATCTTTAAATCGAGCGGTTTCTGATGGGTATGTCTTTAAATATAACAAATTGAATCAAGACTTCAACAATTTTTGTCTCTTTGCGGAAAAATACAAAAAAAAATTTATGTCGTAGATCAAAATTGTAAAAAAATCACATCAAGTTAATTATTATATTTATTTAAAACGTTTGCCTGGCGAACACAGGCTTTATGAACTAGTTACAAATAAAGTGCAATATAATGGATGCACATATACAGTGTAATATAGCGTACGTACATATACAGTGTAATATAACGTATACAGTGCTGATAGGTAAGCTAGTTGATTAAAATGCTCTTGTATTATGTCTAGATGTAATCAGTCAAAGTGTCTCCGTACTCAAATGAGGGTGGGGCAATGCTTGCCTCCATTTGTGGTCTGAAGCCAGAGTGGAGATCAGAATCTGAATATTTATTTTTACTGGAGGAATCCGATGAGCTATAAAGCTCTTTTTCACAGTTGCCCAGTAGGGGCACAGGGTCAGAACGTTACAACAACAAAACAAAAACACGATAGGAGTGCAAAGTATAGGAAAGGCGAGCAAGTCACTTAAAAAAATGTTCAAATAAAGCTAAGCCATTTTTTTATTTTACCAGGTAAGGCACACCGAGCTATTCGCTTATTTTTCAGAAGCGACCTGACCACAAACGATAGCTCAACGAAGTGGCTTATCATGCGGAAATGTACAGCAGCCAAATAATCTAAATGATCTAATCTAAACGCACGTTACACATGTTGCCACGGTGAAATGGGTAACGGGACACTGGACCTGCAACACAGAGGTCATCGGCTAGATCTGCCGGCGCGGCAGTTGGGCAGGTTTCTATTGGCAGCTTGTGCGCGGTGGGGTAAAGTGTGGATACTCTCCCGCCTTTTCCAAAGACGTCTGACCAGCATGGAAGAAGAGGAGGCCAAACACCCTCTCGAGGGGCTTTCTATAGCTCCCTCAGCCAGCAGTGGCATGAGCAAGAAATTGCAGCACTGCACGTTTGTAATACTCGGTTTAACGACGATGTGAAAGTGACACTGGGCAGGATTGTAACTTGCAAATGTCCAACCAGGAAGGCCTGCTTTTCTACGTACTGAGCTGCATTCGCAGGAACACATTCGAATAAATAACACAACTCATAATCAACATATAAAATACGAACTGTCCATTAACTCGTGCTGTGCAACTGTAATTGGCTCATGAACGTCGCTAATGAGAGACGACGTCGCGAGCTTTTTGCACCGGAGGGCTCTCACGAAGGGGCGCTTTGGGCCACGTGGCGCCTCGCCATCCCCCCGGGTGCACGGGGCTGCTGCTGGGGATGGAGAGCCGTGCCGAGGCATCTGCTTGGCACGGGAGCAACGCGCGCCCTGACAGCGCCCTTGCAACACGACGCAGCCTCCCTCCCCGTAATCGTCATCATCATAATTCTGTCGGAGGGAATAAACCGTTTGCCACTCAGTGTAATGCCTAATAGGGCTCTTAATATTACACGTGGTGAATATTTCACGGTAGTGCGCTGTAATGTGCAGGCCTTCAGACGAAGCCAAAATATGAAGAAATGTATGTCCTCAAATGTAAGGGGAATTGGCCAAAGCCGCCTTAACACAGGGCCCTGTTACAAAAGAGGATTGAGGTTCAGACGACAGTTTCCTGGATAAAGAAGCGACTATCGTGGTTCTTATATTGTGTTTACGAGTATGCACTGTATGTGAGTAGATTCCGGAATAATCATTACCTATTGAAGATAGTATCGATGAAGGCAATCATCACTATTATTATAAACCGTTTCTATTTTGAGCACATTGGAAACGTGGAAGCTTGTTTGTATGACAGTCAGTAGTAGGTTGTGAGTTCGGACAGCCCTGCAGAATAACGTCACGGCAGTGCAGCCTGCGTCCCGTACTCGGCCAAGGTCAGCGGCCCAGCCCAGCAACCCTGTCGCGGTCGAGTGAGACTTGACTCCCCCCCCCACTGCCCCCTTGACTCCCCCTTGACTCCCCCCCTCCCCCCTTGACTCCCACCCCCTGACTCCCCCCTTGACTCTCCCCCCCCCCCTGACTCCCCCTCCCCCCGTGACTCCTCTCCACTCGCATCGCCCCGCCGCCGCACGTCGCTCCCGTCGGGCCAGGCTGATAGGCCGAGCGGCGCGCGGGGGCCACGTGTTTACACGCCAGCACCTCGTCGTCGCTGTCGTTGTTGTTGTCATCCCTGTCACCGGCAAATTCCCTCCCCCCAGCCGCGTCGATGACCCGACGTGCCCCCCCCCCCATTCGGTGTGTCGAAGGGTGGATGGGTGGTGGGGGGGATTTAAGAAAGGAAAAGTCGAAGCGCTCGTTAATCCCCAGCGAAAGCAACATGCATCACCGTTGTCCCCGGCCTGAAGTTGATTAATGGAGGAAGATTCTCTCCTCGGGTTGTCGTCTTGAAAAGAGGAGCGGCGGGCAGGCGCCGCATGCTGATGAGGACGTTGCGGCTCGCGCCCTCCATCATGCCAGCCTGCCCTGATTACTTACGACTTGTTGGCGGCACT